GACCATTGAGTAATCCATGTGTTCCAGGGCCCCTGGAACAGACGTCTTCATAGTTCCAGGAGCTATTTAGGTCCCAGTCTCCTTTCTCTAAAAGGGTGGTCAGGATCTGAAAACAGGCACTGGCCACTAAGGGAGGTGGTATGTAGGACTGTGTACAAGCCTCCTTTCTATTATCTAGGAAAGTCTGGATTTCCTTTCATTTACAGTCCAAGTAAGGCTGCATTTTATATTTCCACAAAGTTGAACCTGATCACAGTTAATCAAATGGTCCATGTCCCTGGCTGCCTGTGAAAATGGCTGGAAACTTTTCTTGACATGCCCTATGCATATGCAATAGTGAAATGTGTAGGACCTAGCAGCTAGGTTGGAAAACGCCTGACAAATTTCTTCCCCCCATTTCCAAGGAAGTAATAAGAGCAAGATAGAGACACAGAGACAAAGATAGTCAGACATAAGTGGACCTAAAATAATCCTGTGGGGATAGCCACAGGGAAAGGGAGGGTTTTATGTTTTAAGCTTGTGTGCCTAAAAACGTTGCATGGAAGTTGTTTTAAGGTGGGTGGACAGACCTATCTTCTCTCTAGTCCCTTCCATGACCCACATATCCTTACACAGCAGGAGTCTTGTGGTGGCAAACACCCTGGTGTCTTATATATGCTTGACCCATGCCCACGTATGTTGCAGCAAGCAGGTCCAAAAGGTGACAGGCAAAGGGAGCAAAAGGGAGAGTAATAACAAGAAGTCAGGCAGTGGCTCTCAAGCACAAGTGAGATGAGAGGCTAAGACTTGCCAGGGAAAGGAGGAGGGATATTTGACCTCCAGATAATTCTCCTGGCTGGCTTACCCAGATGTTGCCAGAGGGTAGGTTCTTGTTTCCTCACAGAAAGAATTCAGAGACAAGTCACAAGAGGCCAAGTAAGCAAAGCGAGGATTTATTGAGAGATAGTAAACTCTCAGGAGGGAACACGGGCAGGCTCAGACAAGCTAAGGCTCAGCCCCTTTGAAATGACTAATGGTAGGCCCTTTTTACCCTCAGATATTTTGGTGGACACCGAAACCAGTGAGGTCACTAAGTTCCTAATAAATCAGGATAAGTCCTAAAGGTGATTTCAGAGTCTGGAAATCAGGTTTTGCTGGCCCTAGCCAAGAAACTCACCCCATCTCTCTTGAAGTTCATATCCCGTCCCTAACGCAGCTTCCATGCTTGGATCTCACCCCTCACATCAATATTTCTAACCAATACCAAGTACTCATTCTCAAGTGCAATGAGTCTAGCCTGTCTTGCTGCCCCTGCCCCTAGTGACCAGTGGAAGAGGGAGGGAAAACGCCAGTTGTCCGGCATTTACAATATGGCCCTCCTAAGGCCTACAGAAAAGTCCCCACACCTCACGACCCCTCTTGTAACGGTGGCCTCTCTCCTCAAGCCACGTGGGTACACCCTCTTGGGCAAACCACTTACAGGAATGGGTCAGCTCCTCAGAAGTGCGCCAGGCGTGCACTCCCCCAGACGCCTGTCCCTCTGTGGCCTGAACGTAAACCAGCTGCCTTCTCAGAATAACCCCAGCTCTCCTTCCGCTCCCCAGGATTGGCTGTGGCCTTGCCTTGGATAGATAAGGCCCTGCTTGCGGGACAGTGCACGCTAGGCCAACTAAGTAATCAGACGAACCTAGGTGTATCCATCCATAATATCCGCCACTCCTGAAATAAGAGGCTGATGGGCCTCATCCTGGCAGCAACTGGAGCAGCTGTTGTTTGGTGGCCCCATGGGCGGCTTTGCCTACCTTGAGGCAATGCTTTGTAACGTGCCAGATATTCTGCCTCCTCTGGCCAGGACCATGGGGGAACCCCCTTTATTTCCTAGCAAGTGTGGTGATGGATAACAGACGGGCCTGGACTACCTGCTAGCTGAATGGGGAGGGGTACGTGCAGTAATCAAGACAATGCGCTGCACCTACATCAACACCACTGGCCAGGTGGAAGAAGATATGCAAAAGATGCATGAACAGGCCCAGTGGCTCCACACTTGTGGAAAGGGTGACCCCAGTGCCAGCTCCACATGGACTGCAGTCAGAGGGGTATTACCAAACATGACCTGGTTCCTACCCCTGCTTGGACCTCTGACTGCAATAATATCTTTGCTGATTTGGGGCCCCTGCCTTTTTAGTCTCCTGTTTGTTAAGTTTGTTTCTTCAGGTTACGACAGTGTCACCTACAGGTGATGGTATGCCAGGGATTTCAACCCATCCTGCAAGAAGATGGGGACCATCAACATCCACTGGACAGGGCTGCAGCCTCCTTCTACTCCCCACTCTCCATCTCTGCCGCTGTACATGACCCTGAGACCTCCTATCTCTGACAGAGCAAGGTGATCTGGACCCCACTGGTAGGGACAATGGCCCTGCTCAGCTTGAAGCAGCTACGGAAGCCGGACCATCGACCCTTTGACCCTTAAAAGATTTTAAGGGTCCAGACTCCTCAAGGGGGGAGACGTTAGAGCAGGCAGTTAGCCAGACATGAGCAGAGGAGGGAGGCACAGGTCATGTGATAGGAGACCATAATACATCTTGCAATGACAGGGGTTCTAGGGGCAAAGACAGAAAAGCGGGACCCTCCGGGCTGACAGGGGACCATATATCTTGTGAAGACAAGGGTCCTAGAGGCAAACAAAGAAAGGCAGGAACCTCCTGGTCGGAATGTAACCTTTTGCTCATTATGCCCTCATTACGGTAGAATTAGCATTGCAACCAGAGCAGTACCCATCATGCACCGGCACCATGACAGATCCGAGCAAAGCCAAATAAGGACAGAAACTCCCCCTCCTCTCGGAAAGGTGGACCTGGGATGAAAACCAGGAAATTACCCCCCAAATCCCTCCCTTCTTGATGAATATTCTGCCCATTCATTTTCACACCCTGTATAAACCAGCTTGCCGAAAGGACTCACTGTTGCTCACCTGAGCCTGCCTGCGCTCCCTCCTGAGAGTGTACTGTCACTCAATAAATCCTTTGCTTACTTGGCCTCTCAGTCTCAGCTCTGAATTCTTTCTACAAAAATACAAGAACCTACCCTCTGGCCGCACGAAGACAGCCACAGACAATTCATAAGCCAATCAGTATGGCTGTATTCCAGTAAAACTACATTTATAAAAACAGACAGCCAGCTGGACTTGGCCCCTGAGCGGTACTTGGCTAAGCCCAGATTTAGATCTTGGCATCTCATTTCTCCTACATCTCAACTTCACCTCCTGGATTATTTTAGTTGCTTTCTGAGGTTTCCTGCTCTATTGTGTCTTCCTGGGGCTCCGGTTGGTACATTGCAAGCTTCACTGGATGATGTACCATAGTTGAAACAAGTGTAGGATAATGTCTGCTGCTAGGTTTCCCATCTGTGTCTAGGATTTGATTGATTTTTACAGAAATATAGTTGATTGTTTGCAGGAAATAACGTTCCAGTGACTGTTAGGTATCTTTGCATCTGTGTTGTAATCCGTAGTATGGAGCCTCTCTTCCTTAATATGTTTTGCATTATTTTATTACTATTATGTTTGACTATGTTGAGGCCCGGCTTCCAATTCTCACCCCCTTGCCTCTTTTGTATTTATCACTGTCAGCTGGCAGAGCTGAATGCAATCAGTGGATTTGGAGATGTTCCTAAGTGCCTTCATTGCAAGTCATTTGTAAGAATAAGACCAATCTTAGCATTAGTTCCTCTGTACTTTTCTGTCTGCCTTTTTTTCCAGAACTGTACCCATTTAGTCAGACCCTTTGTTACTGTCTTTCTGAGCCACTTTTCTATTTCTTCTGAAACATTCCCCCAAATCTGTAGTGATTCAGTCTTTTAAATAACAGAAATTTAAGTAGATGTTACAGTTAATGTTTTTTTCCCAACGTATTCAACAGTGTGCTGGTGAAGAATTTCAAGACGTGTCATTTTACCCACTTGTATTGTACATGGGCTGTGGCATCTTTTAGTACCGACTGTACAGTTCTTTGTGTAGTGAAAGCTGGGTGTGAAGAGTGAAGCTGGGAACAAATCTGCATTTCCTAGGGTGGGTCCATATTGGGTCTTGTCAACCCAGCGTCTCCACAGAGAGCTTGAAAATCTGTAAAAGTCCAAGTTGTGATCCCTGTGCAGTCAGTTCTCCATGTTAAACATCAAGACTTACCTGCCCTGCTATGTGCCTTTTACATAATAAATGTGTCAGATTCCTACTGTAATATGAACATATGGCCACAGTCTAGCTCTTGACAAGATTCTCACATTCGTTGATTGGTGCAAAATGCTCATGTGAAAGGTGAAATCATGAAGTAAAGGGCGACTTAACTGCATTGGGTCCGATGGAAAGAGCACTTGTACCATAGTTGAGATCTCACCTCAAGTCCTCTGCTAGGTGACCTTAAGCTGTTCACTTAACCTCTGTGCTTCCTTCTGCTTGCTTTGCAAGGTTGTTCTTATGTGGATAAAATGAGATAATTGAATTGAAAGGAGGTAAGAACATAAAGCTATACAAAGATGGTGACAGTCAGAATGCTGTTCCTGTATTCCTAAATGGACATTACAGCAGCCCTGCAGGTGAATGAAGTCGGGGTTCTGGCTGGACCCCTGGCCATCTTAAAGGAAATTCTCTTCTTTGCCTTCTGTGCCTGCATTCACCCCCCTTAGACTGTCCTGGAAGTCAGCAGTCACCTCGATGCCCCCTGTCCCTGGTACATACATTATGTGATCATACCGCTAGACAGCCTAAGGGCTGGGTCATGGGCTTGCCTGCTCACATCTCCCCATCACCACGGCTGCTTCTTGGAAGGGACATCTGGCTTAGTTCCTAGATAATTGGCAAAAAGCGAAGGGACTTGTAAAAAGTAAGCCCTCTGCAGGGTCTGCTGCTCCATTTGACCTCGCTATTGGTCCAAATTGCACATACGTGTTGGGTTTTTTTTTTTTTAATGGACTGATGTAAGTGTCAGGGTGACATTTGACACTTCACTGCTCTAACATTGCAGAAAGTAAAGTTATCAGATGAGCCTGTAGAAGCAAAAGAAGATTACACTAAGTTTAACACTAAAGATTTGAAGACTGTAAAGGTATGTGTCTGGGTGCAGCAGCAAATACTCTTGAATCCTGTGGCTGTTGCTGCATGGGGACTTCGAGGAACGATTGGATGCTTGATTGTGATTTTATCATTTTAACCATGAAGAATTATTAACTTGCATTTCTGTGACTTAAGAATTAATTCAAAATTATGAATGGTGATGAAAGCGTCAAGCAAAGAAGACTTTTTACAGCTAAAGAAAGGCAGTATACTTATTAGCAAGAGTGTGCCTAAACTTTGCAATATATTCAGAGGGATAGGATGGGGCAGAGGAAGGGGCTCCAAAGGTAATTTTTTGTCGACTCTACTGCCCAGTAGCTTCCCAGAAATTATGACAATGACAACAATTATTAACAACTCCATAATTCAGCAACCACCCCAGCAAGTATTTTCATAACATTTCTTACTGATTTATCCTATACATCATCATATATATATATACACACACACATATAGTTTGGGGTTCTGCCTTTTTCATTTAGCTCTATATTGTGAAAATGTTCATGTCATTAAGCTTTCTTTGAAAAATTATTAATGGTTTCGTGATATTCAGTCATGTGTTATTTTATTTCACCACAGGGAATATAGTCTATTTAATCATTCTCCTATTTTTGGACACATAGGTTACTTCTGCTTTTTTGTTTTTGTTTTAATGAGGTGATAAACATTCTCATTTATAGTCTGCATCTCTGACTATTTCATTAGACACAATTTAAAACTAAGAGTAAAGGCTTAGAACACATGAACTCTTTCCATGATCACTGGTGCACATATATATAGCTAAAATGCTTTCCAAAAGTGTGGCAGAAATTTGTGCTCCCAGCCACTACTGCTGACGAGTGTCCATCTCACATTCTTGACAACAGCAAGTATTATTTTTATTCTTGAAAAATTTGCCTAAGTAGGCTAATTTAGGTAGAAAGGTTGTTTTTCCAAATGCTTATTGCCTATCTGCATTTTTGCAAATTGTCAGTTCATGTTTCTTGCCTGTTTTTATATTGGGATAGTAACGTTTTTCTTGTTGATTTGTAAGAGCTCATTCTAAATTCAGGCTATTAACACTTTTCATGACATACAGGGTACAGATAATTTTCCAGTTTGTTTAGGCTTTTCATTTGACTTTTGAACTATTTTAAGTTTATCTGAGGATTAAATATGGAAGTTTTTTATGATTTTCTCATTTTTATGCTTAGAAAGACCTTGCCTGCCCCAAGATAGGTTAACTTCCACCTAGATTTTAAGAACACTTAATCTCCTTAGATTTAATGTTTTCTAAAAATTGTATTCTTTAATCTACATGTAACTTATCAGGGCATGGGCTATCAGGGGATAATCCAACTTGAGATTTGGCTAAAATAGCTGATTATCTCAGTGCTTTCTGTAAGCAGGGATATTTTCGAGTTTCTCTGTGAGGAGTATTTCTGCCCCACCCTTCTAAGTGCTGCTTCCCATTGTATGCACTTGGGCACCGCACCAGTGAGATAAGAGGTTGGACCAGGATGTCAGTTAATTGCAGAGGATGGAGGATAACTTGTCTCAGAGACTGTCACTTTTCCCCATCCAGCCAAAATATAAGCCTACTAAATTATAAGTGACAGAATGTAAAAAGCAAATTTTTAGGGATCATATATTGACTGTGCCCTTAAAAGATACCTTGGCAATGGCTCTGTCTCACAGTTCCCAGGGAGACAGATGATTTTTTCTGTGCTGATTCCCATCATTTATGCTTTTGCTGAACGCTGAAGTAAAATCAGCTGCTATTTCCCTTCTGCCAGTGCTTGTTATAGGACATGGCAAAACAAAACAAAACAAAAACAGTGACCAGGAAGAGAGAGAATTTTAAAAGGCAGAGTTATTTGGAGTCAGCTTTTTAGAAAGTATTTTTTTGTTGGAGGAAAAATGGGACAGCTATCCTGCTGGTCCTGGATGCTTTGCAATACAGGTTATCTTTTGAATATAATAGCTTTGTCCTTGGTTTCCCATAGAGCCTATGAATAAAATCAGACGGTAGATTGTTGTGAATTATTCATCATTTGGTAATACAAGGCTGTAATTCCTCCCTCTGACAATTGCTGCCTGTGTCAGTTCCATTGTTTGTGTTATTTCACTTAATACACCCTCCAGAATTATTTCCCCTAAAGTAAACCGTTGGTTGTAACATTCCACTCCTTAGAAGGCAGCAGTTTTGTCTCCTGCCTCTTTTAACATATTTTGTCTCTTAGATCTGAATTCTGAATAGAAATCAGAACTTTTAAAAAGAATCACTCCTTTATGAAGCATGTCAGCAGCAAATGCTTACCTCCCTTAACGAACCTTGAGACATGCATGGTCTTGTTTGATTTGCATGTATGATTTATAAATGTATACATTCATAACAATTTTTCTCTCTTATTTTCAATAACAGAAAAATAGCAAAATGACTGCAGCTCAGAAGGCTTTGGCTAAAGTTGACAAGAGTGGAATGAAAAGTATTGATTCCTTTTTTGGTGCAAAACATGTTAAAAAAATTGGAAAGATTTGAAACTTTGAAAATTAAATCAAGCAAAAATATTTGCCTTCTACATGTCCCATTTTCAGCCTTCCTCCATTCCACTGTACTTCCTAACCCTTAATTACCACCTTTTGAAAAAAAGTAGGAAGGGGGCAATTTTCAGATTCACTTGAACATTTCTTTGTGTTTGATTTTTGTGTTTCCTGAACAAAATACGGGAAAGTAATTGTGTAACTTCATGGCTTGTGGCCTTTGGAGTTTTGTTTGACATCCTGAAAAGTAATCAAGTGAATAGAATTAACCTCTAGCATCACAATTTCCTCAATAAAGTGATGTGTGACAATATTTGAGTGTATGCCTGTTATTTTATGCAATGTTGCACATGGTAGCTATAGCAATATGGTTTTCAATATACTGAGAGAAATATAACAACTATCAGATAAACTACTACTTTTTAAAAGCCTTTAGTTTTGGGTAAATCTTTTGTTTAATGTATTTTCTGTTTTATGAATACATGTTCTTTGCAGAAAACAGAGAAAAGTATAAAACAAAAATTATAATCTCCCAACTTTTCATTACCTGGAGGTAATATGGTGCATTTTCTTCTATAATAATTTTTAAAGGAATTATAATAGTAATTTTATAACCTTTTTTCTTGACATCATTTTGTGAGCATTTTCCCAGGCTACTCTTCTTCATAAATATACTTCTTTAATGACAGTAATTTTTAATTATTTGAGTATTTGATTATTTAATGATCATAGTCCTATTTTGGACATTTGTATTATTTTTAAACATTTGCTATTGGAAGAATCAGATTCTATGTAAATATTTGTCCATATCTTTTATTGTTTTCTTAGAATGGATTTTTAGAAGTGGGCTTACTGATTAATAACTAAGTTTTTCAAATATATACTTTTGGGAATATATTTCACAGAAAGGTTATAGTATCTTGCACTCTAACAAATGATGGTATGAGTCCTTATCTTATTAGCTTTGAATAGTGTCTTTGCAAATAAGTGGAAAAAAGGCATGTTGGTGTGGTTTTAATTCACATTTTCCTGATTAATAATGTCAACTGAGAAAAACCCCACACAACCTGAAAGTTGAGAGTTATGTTTTATTCGGGGAACTTACAGAGGACTATAGCCTGGGAGGCAGCCTCTCAGATAGCTCTGAGGAACTGTTAACAAAGAGGTAAGAGAGAAGCCAGGATATGTAGGAATTTTTGTTGGAAAAAAAAACATGCAGTCAAACATCAAAAGATTACTGCTAATCATACACACACAGAAAAACCCCCAGACATCTCAGGTTAATGAGTTTAGTGCTTTTCTGGGTATGGGAAGATGCAAGAGTCTGGGCTCATTGAAATTACTCCTTTGATATGCATCTGAACTGTCTAGGGCCAGTATTCTGTTTTTCTCCATCCTGAATTCCCCTCAGGGCACACCGAGGTTGGGGGGGGGCAGGTGAGGGGAAGCTCTGCAGAGGCTGATGGCTTGATGGTGGGCAGCATTTGTTGTTTTCTGAAATGGCAGGCAACATTTTTTTGTCCACAGTAATAATATTGTTCATTTTTTCACATTTACCTATCATTTGCCATCTTATAGAGAATTATCTGTTTATGCCCTTTGTTAAATTATTGGAGTATCAGTATTTTTCTTATTGATTCTAAGAAGTATTTTATAACTTAAAGACATTCATTTTTGTCCAGTGTTCATTGTAATTTTTTTCCCTTGGTTTGTAATTATTTTCTCACCTATTTATTTTTTCCATTAGATTTGTAGGATCATTTTTACAGGTTCTAAGAGTAAATTCTAATGGGTTTTACTGAGATTTTGAAAGACCCATAAATTATTTTGAGAAAAACACATCTTTACAAAAGTCAGTGTCCTTATTCAGGAATATGGTATTTGTCTATATTTACTAAAATCCTAATCATACCTTTCACTAACATTTGGTTCTTCATCTTCATGTAGGTTCTAGATACTTCTTTTTAGGAGTATCTCTAGGTATTCTTGTTGCTATTAATGAAATCTTTTTTTTTTTTTTTCAGTTATATCTCCTAACTGGCTATTTTGTGGTAAAGTATTACATTTTTATATATTTATCCTTTAAATAACTAATTTACTAAACTATTGATCTAAATTTTAAAATTTTATTCATATTGGGTTTTCAATGCATAATAAGGTACATAATCTTAACTTCGAAAAATTTGTGTGCAGTTCTTTCTGATAGTTATAGCTCTTTTATATCTTTTATATCATATTACATGGGTAAGACTATCTAGAACAGTATTGAAGAATAATATGTAATAGTAGTTATCTTTGCCTATTTTGTGATTTTATTAATGTGCGTTACCATCAGTTCTGACACTAGCTATTGTTAATGTGATAAAGAATATCTATCTTTGGTATTTCCTTTTATACTTAGTTTCCTTAAAGTTTTAATTAGTTATTGGTATTGGTTGTTATCAAATATCTTTTTGGCATCTCTTGTGCTGGTTGTAGAGTTTTTATCACAATTAAACTGTGCTTGAGTTCCTACACTAAACTCTACCTGGCAGTAGATAAAGGATAGCATCATGGATGCTCCCTATCTGGTTTAACCATTGTCAAATCTAGTTCTCAATTAGGTTTTCTAGGCTTTTATTTAGAATGTTTGCATCTATATTCGAAAGCAATATTGCTGTTAGGTCTTAGTGTTAGAATTCAGCTGGCTTTCAATCTTTCCCAATATTCTGGAAGGAATAATTTTGCATAAGAACATTCTATTTCTGGAAACTTTTAAAGAACATCCGTGGTAAAACTGTCTGGCACTGAGCCTTCTTTTGTCTTCTTTAATCTGGAAAAATTTCTCACCTGTTCCTTGTCTTACTTGACCTTGACATTTTTGAAGAGCACAGGCTGGTTATTTAGTCAAATGTTCCTCACTTTGAGTTTGCCTAATGTATCCTCTTGATTAGATCCAAGTTTTACCTTTTGGGCATCCACAGAAGTAATGCTGTGTCTTTCTTAGTGCACCATGTCAAGAGTCACATGACCCAGTACTAGGGATGTTAACTTTGATTGCTTGATTAAGGTGGTGTCCACCAGGTTTATCCACTGTAGAGTTATTATTTTTCTCTTTGTAATTAATAAGTGATTTGTGGGCAAATACTCTGGCACTTTTAAGTATCCTGTTCCTCATTCAACATTCACTCACAAGTTTTAAAATAAAACTGATGTTTTTTCCAACTCCATCATTTCTTTTATATTTATTTATTTTACATTTATATTTATTTATTTTGGCATTTTTCTAGAAGGAAGGGCTTTCCCTTCTGTACTTATTTATTCATTTATGAGCTTATATCATCATGCACTTGAAGGTTATTTTATCCAGTGATTTAAATTACATTATTCTGTTCCTCATATTGTCCCAGAAGGGCCAGTAGGAGTCCCTTCAAGCTGCCTACTGTATCTTTTTGTTATGTTTCATTCATTTTTAAATACTTCATTACTTCTTCTGCAAGAGGGTATTCCAGACTCTTCATGTATTTTCCCTGTCCAAGCCCTGGAATCAGCCTTTTTCCCAAGCAGCCAGGGTTCCTTTTAGAGGAGAATGGTATTTAGAAACCAAGATCCAGGCAAGAGGTGTGCTTGCTGCTACTATCGATCTATGTGTGTGGTTTTTGTGGATTTCCTTTATCAGACTGAGGAAGTTCTTTTCAGTGAGAGTTTTAATCATGAATGGATATTGAATTTTGTCAAATAAGTTTTCTTCATCTATTGAGATGATCATGCAGTTTTCCTTTAGTAAAGGAATATATTTTAATATGTGAAGTATAATGATCGATTTTTGAATGTTGAACTTTACATTCCTGGGATAAACTCACTTGGTCTTTTCATATATAGTATTGTGTTTTATTTCCTAATATTTTATTAACGATTTTTAAAATCTCTGTTCATGAGGGATATTGGTCTGTAGTTTTCCTTATTTGTAATGATTTTGTCTAGTTTTGGTATCAGAGTAAAGCTGACTTTATTAAATGAGTTGGGAAACAGTCTGTCATCACCCATTTTCTGAAAGCGTTTTTGTGAGATTAGTATTGTTTTTCCTTTTTATGTTGGACAGAATTCACTAGTGAAGCCATTTGAGCCTGGAATTTTTTTTTTTTCTGGGAAATGTTTTAGTTACTAGTTCAATTTCTATAATAGACGTAAAGCTATTCTAATTTTCTTCTTTTTCTTATGCCAGTTTTAGTAATTTATGTCTTTCAAGAAATGTATCTTTCATCTAGTTGTCAAATTTATTGGTATAACTTGTTTCTTATATTTTTATTATCCTTTTTATGTCTGTGAATCTGTAGTGATATTCCTTCTTTCATACCTGATTTGGTTATTTGTGTCTCTTGTTTTCTTGATTATTTTCATCAAATTTGGAAAATTTCTGGCCAGTATTTCTATAAATTTTCTGTTCTTCACCCACCCACCCCCTTTTCTCTTCACCCTCTTGGCTTCTGGGACTCCAGTTACATGTATGCTAGACTACTTGATGTCCCACAGGTCCTTTAGCTTCTGTTCTTCTTCTTTATTTTCAATTTTACTTTGTCTTGTAGTGTTTTATTTTCTATAACCTCAGTGAATTTTTATTTCATATATTGGAATTTTCAGCTCTAGATGTTCCATTTGGCTCTTTTTTATATCTTCGCATTTCTCTCCTCATTGTGTTCTCCTTCAAGTAGTTTGTTAACGGTAGTTGCTTAAATGTTCTTGTCTGCTAGTTCCAACATCTCTGACATTTCTGTGCCAATTTCTTTCTTTTCTTTTGTCTTTACTTTTTTACTTTGAAATAACTTTAGACCTATAGAAAAGTTGCAAAAACAGTAGAGAGTATACATATACCCTTCACTCAGCTTCCTCTAACCTTAACACCTTATATAACCAGTACAATTATCAAAACCAGGGACTTTACAATAACACAATATTATTAACTAATCTACCCCCTTGTTTGAGTTTCACCTATTTTTACCACTAATGTTTTTCCATTCCAGGGTCCAGTCCATCCTTCCACATTGCATTTAGTTAAGCATATCTCCTCTTTTTTGTAATGTGTCTCTCAGTCTTTCTTTATCTTTCCGTGACCTTGACACCTTGAGAGTACTGGTCAGTTATTTTGTGAAATGCCCCTCCATTTTTGAGATACCTTGAAATTGTGCTAATATCCTGTTTCTCATGTGATCATTTCATAATACTAATAACTAATGATACTAATAACAACAAATACTGTCTAGCATTTATGTGCTTGGCACTGTTCTGAGCACTTTACATATAATAATTCATTTAATCCCCACAGCAGCTGTAGTTGTAAGGCAGGGTGCCATAGGAGCCAGGAGAGTGACACCCAACCCAAAGGGCAAAAGGATGAGAGAAAGGCTACTTAAACTCTTGAATTATCACCCCTGTTGAAGGTAAGCTACTTAAGAGCAGGAACTCTGTGCTATTCACCTTGTGTCTCGCACAGAGTATGCAGTTGGTACACACTGGATAGGTTGGGCACAAATGTTGGATAGGTTGAGTATTCTAACCAGTGTCCTCACTAATTGAGACTTGACCTTTTTATCCCAAGGGTCAAAGTCATGGTCTTGATCAATCTTGGTCTTTCAAATTGTCTAAGCTATTACATGACCTTCTTGTTGGTCCTTGAATATGCCGCAGTTCCCATATCAGTGCCTTTGTGTGACTTATCTTTTATATCCTTCCTCCAGATCTTCACATGATTTGTTCCATCATGTCATTTCAAGCATCTCAAGCATCATTTTCTCAGAGATGCAATTCCTGATTCCTCACTTGCCTCCAATCCTCTCCCATCTTCCTGCCTCACCCTCTTCACAGAACCTTGCCTGACTAGGTCACAGTTATGTCCACAGCACCTAACATGGGGCAGCGCGGAGCAGGCCTTCTATAAAGGTATGAGGTAATCAATCGATCAATCAGTTAGTCTGTACTGGACACCTCAGAAAAGTGTTCTGCAGTACAAAATGGGGTTCCTTGGCATTTTATGGCTGAACCTTGGAATTCAAGTTTCATTCTGAGTGGTTTTCTGTGGTGCTCTTAGAGTTGAAGTTTAAGAACATATTCATAAACTCCTTGTAGAGGCTTAATAGAAATAGATATAATCTTTAACCTCTGGATAAAGGGCTGTGAATTTTCTTCTATCAGTTGATTAAACTTCACTTACTGTAGTCATTTTATCTGCATCAGAACGTCTCAAGTTAGAATACACTGTTTACATCTGTGCTGTTAATAAATTTGCTTTTACATGGCATTTAAAGATTATTCATATAAAGCCCATAACCTAAATTGAAGTTTGAGAGTATATGTGGTCTATATACTCCTTGTCTTCACAGAAGCTTTTATTTTTTTCCAGCTTTATAGAGGTATAATTGACAAATTAAATTGTATATATTTAAAGTGTACAATGTGATGTTTTGATACACAAAGATTGTGAAATGATTACCATAACCAAGCTCATTAACATATATGTCACCTCACTTGTTTACCGTGTGTGTGATAACACTGAAGATCTATTCTCTCAGCAAATTTCAAGTATACAGTACAGTATTATTAACTATAGTCACTACACTGTACATTAGATTTCAGGAGCTTTAAATAGGAGCTCACATCATGACTTAGCTATAGATTAAATGGGAATCTGTGAAATCATCAATTTTGTTTTCTTCCATATTTGAGTTTACTTTTGATTTCAAGATGAAGATACTAATCCTACTTGCAATGTGCAGTGTTAACTAGGAGTTGAATAGTAGTTGAAGAGTGAAAAACTAAAGGTGTTACACCTACCTGCCAAGTGCTATTTTGGGGAATAATATTAGGAACAAATCAATGTGGACTTTACATACATACATGCACAATATACACAAATAGACACACATGTATATACACACACACTTAAATACAAATACATGCACATATACACATATGCACCCACAAACATACATACGTATATACACACATACACGTATATATCCTACCCTTCCTTCAAATTTAAAGAATTTCAAACTAGAGACTTTTTAGACTTTATTACCAAAGGTACAGTACCAAACATTGGGGTACTGTACCTTACTCAGATCCTTTGGCACTTTGCTTCTCTTACTTACATCATTTATCTTTTTGATTAATGTGCTGAGTTTGGGGAAAGTTTCAAAAGATTTCTGCAAACTCTAAAACCACTTGTGTACACACACAAGAGCCTCCATCATTTTCATCAAACCATTCATATTTCTGAAACTGATCTCAGATTACCAACATCCTTTCCTTTTTTGCGCCTGGTTTATCTTCGATTTAAATCTTCCTTGTACTCTGGCTCTCAGGCTCTTTCATCTTCCAGGTTTGTGCTTCTCGGGTTCTGACTCCCAAAGAGATTCCCCTCCATCAGGTTTAATGTGGATGTCAAGTGGGACTGGGTTTCATCCGTTCAGGTCTATTTTTAGTGCGCCGCCCTCCACTCCCACGCTCCCGTTTCTCTTACTCAGGGCTTTAGCCAGACACAAAGGCAATTTGGAAGTGAGAAGCTGAAATGTACCCATTTACATTTACTAAATGTACAGTGTTTATACTGTGTGCAAACTTATGATGACAAGTAACAGTAAACAGATGAAAATGAAGTGAAAATGAGCAACCATGTTTCAAACTGAACTAAAAAGTTTACTTTTAAAAAGTAAAATAGTTGGTCTAAAAAGGCCAATTAATTTAAAGGAGCTGGATTTATACTTGGTTGTAGTCCTAATCCTGCCTTAACTCTGACCCATGGACAAACCACTAGCATGGCTGACCCACAGTGTTGTCTTCCGTGTGAGATGAGACTAGATCACTGGGTTGTTTGATGTCCTGCCCTGCGGTCACTGCTGCTTGGGGCGCCTCATCTCCTCCACCCCTGTGAGGCTGTGCCCTCGATTAGCATCTGTCCTGTGCTCACCCCACATCAGGCCCTCGTCTGAGCTCCTCGGGTGGATTATCTCATCTGTTTGACTGGAAGCAAATACACCAACATGTTCACTCTGGCTATTGTGTTCATGTTATATATTTGTCTCTTTTCTTCATTTTCCATAGATTACATTACTTTGCAGTGGAAAGAACTGCAAAGGGCATAATTCTTAGAAAGTAATAACAAAGACTGGCAAAGTGCCTTGCAATTTTTAAGCACTTTTCCCATGAATTTATGTGTTTAAAATCCTTCCGGAAACCATGTGGCACAATTGGTATTATTTCCTCCATTTTACAGTTGAGAAGGGTAAGGTCATTTCATTTGCCCAAGGTCACACAGCTAGTAAATAACTGAGCCAGAACCTCAACTCAGGACTTCCCACTGCCGGGCTCTCCACACCAAATTAACTTCCTTCCCCAGAGGCCCTAACTTCGACTTGCGTTGCACCCTGGGAAGTCACCCCTTCACCAGATTTGAAAGACAGCCTCTTCACATAGGTTAAGATTGACTTTCTCTGCTCTTAAAGTTGATCTGACTTAACTAGCTGCCTTGTATCACGTATGTTTTTTTTCCCAAACAGCCCTTTCTCCAGGACTAATCCAAGATTTGGAGATCTCCAGAGTTAGCTGCATTATACAGTTGAACCTCTTGGTGGAAGGCAAGGAGCTCTGAGTCTAGGAAGGCAAGTGAAAGGCTATTTGTTAGTGTCCTTGGAAGATGTCCACAGGCTTTGACCTCATCTGAATAAGGAAGAAATGATTAGATTCGTACACCTTTTGATACACAGATTTATACACGCCGCCAGTTTACATACTTCTCAGGGTCATTAGACTGATGAAAAGTACCTTATGTTTAATAGTACTTTACAGTTTTTACAGCAATCCTGTATCAGTAGTTAAATTAATCTTTACAACAACCTTCTAAGGTAGACTGGAGGGGGGGGGTGTATCCCTGCTTCATAGATGGTCCAAGTGAGGTCACCCAGACTGTGAATGGCCAAGCCCAAGGCTGCCCTTCCACCCTCAAGCCCAGCCCTCTCTCTTTTTTGCCTCCCCAAGGTCCTTATCGTTATGTATGTAGCTTTATGGCTATTTCTCCTTCAGTAGTCTGTTTTAATTGTGAATTTTATCCTAAGAAAGGAAAAATCAGATTTTTTGTTTCATCTTTTTGCTCTATTCATAATGAATTCTGCAGGTCAATTTATCCTCAGCAGTGCTGAGCCAGAATTAAAGCAAAGCTTCTACTTAGCTATTGCATTTGCATGCCAGGTCTTTAATTCAGCTGTCGGCTCTTTAGCAGTTACTGTACTTTTGTTAATAAATGTTATCTTGATGGTCTCACACTAATCAAGCCTGTTTGAGACAGGGAGGGGCGGAGGGAAGCACCGAATGTGATTTACAGAAGAATCGGCGCTTCTTCATGGATGTTGGGAATTGCTGTTACCTTACACATGTGCTTTAATCAGAATGTGTAAAATTAAAGTTAGTCAAGTAGTAAGTTCTTTCAAGAGAAAAAAGGAGCCAAGGAATAAGCTTAGATTCATTTATTCTTTTAAGAGCATATACTGAGCACCCGCTTTGTGCCAAATGTTGTTCTAGGCACTAGGAATGCAGCTGTCCACATGGCAAAAAATACCTGCCTTCGAGAAGTTTCTGCTCTGGGGGGGCGGCTAGATGGAGTGTCAGATATTGTTGGGGGCTGTGGAAGAAGCTGAGCAGGGAAGTGGACAGAGTTCTGGTGAGGCGGCTGGTCAGGGAAGGTCTAACCTCTGTCACATCTTATCCACTTATGGCACAGAAGTCTGATTTCCATCAACTTTTTTTTTTTTTTGATAACTTACTTATAGCTCCAGAGTAAATTGTTTGACTTTGTGATCAGTAAGAAACCAGCTTTCAATAATTACACTTGTCCCATGGCATTTTTCAGGAGGATATTAAGGACTACTACTTCCACCAGCAAGTCTATATTTATTTTTTATACATTGGATCTGCATAGGAAAAGAGAAGAAAACATGGTTTAAGAATTATTCACCTTAGAACTTTTTTTTCATCTGTTTCTTGTATTATCATTTTTTTCCTAAAATGAGGGTATCTATTCCCTGAGTTTGGGCAACCTTAACATTATTTTGTATTTCACTCCCTTTGAACACTGGAAGGAAAATGTGCGTCTCACCCACCTCCAGGAGCCTAACATTAGCCCTAGAATGAGGTCGCCCCAACGGAAACGGCTTCCTTTGCCTGAGGGCTTCTCTTTTTTATTTATTTTATTTATTTATTTTTGGCTGCATTGGGTCTTCGTTGCTGTGCACAGGCTTTCTGTAGTTGCAGCGAGCAGGGGCCACTCTTCGATGTGGTGTGCAGGCTTCTCACTGCAGTGGCTTCTCTTGTTGTGGCCAGGCTTCAGTAGTTGTGGCATGTGGGCTCAGTAGTTGTGGCTTGCGGGCTCTAGAGCACAGGCTCAGTAGTTGTGGCACGTTAGTTGCTCAACAGCATGTGGGATCTTCCCTGACCAGGGCTCGAACCCTTGTCCCCTGCACTGGCAGGTGGATTCTTAACCACTGTGCCACCAGGGAAGTCCCAAAGGCTTCTCTTTGAAGCACAAATGCACAGCTGCTGATCTCAGGACTAACCCAACCAGCCTTGCTTTTCTGTTCTGGAAGGTGCAGATGGTCCTCGGGATTGCAGGTGACTACTTCTCCTCACCAGGATACAACATGTATTCTCCTTCTCTCCCTAGGTGGCAGCACAAAGACAGAAAAGGGACAAGTGACAACAGATCCACGCAAGACTTGGCTGCTTCTCATGTGATTTAAGACACTCCCAAAGGGCTAAAACTTTTTCTTCTGCGCTTCCTAGAAAATCACCGAATGCCAAGAGATGTAAAGGACTAACCAGGAATGTTTTATTTCTGTGATCAATACCGCTAGTCCCTTCAGGCAGCAGCAACTCCCCCTGGAGGCAACTGGCATGGAACTAGAAAGCACCCCTAGTGTGATTCTGCCCTGAGGAATTCAAGCCATATCACCCCTCTGCCCCAGCCTACCCACCATAAAGGTATGGGTTTTTAACAGTCTAGTGCTTCAGATTTCAAAACATTGGGAGGGGAAGGCTCATTGTGAAAATCGGGTCATTTCTTAAGCTGGACCCTGTTGGCCTGCTGTTTTCCTGGGGTCAGGACAGCACTTTTGGGTTTGCATGTGGTGACTATAGTACTAGATTCCACACCAGAAGCTTTGACAGACCAAGTTTCTACCCGTATTAAAAAAAAGAAAAAGGGGGAATTGCCGGGAGGACCAGGGGGAGTAGTCAGCACGTTCACTGCTGCGGCAGGGGTTCAGTCCCTGGTCAGGGAGACAGGATCCGCAAGCTGCGTGGTGCACCACCCCCCCCCCCCCAAAAAAAAAGAAAGAAGAAAGCCTGACCTTTCTTTACTCCTTATCAGTTTGGCAGCTTCTAGTTCATAACAATACCTGAACATGTGCATTTTATGGTGTGCCGGAGTTGTAAACATTGCTTCATTTTTAAAAGATTTGTCCAATGTGTGCATTATTATAGTTATTTAGAGTGTGGGCATAAGACATGGGGGAACGTTAGAAGTAGATGCCAAAAAGTAATCTAGCGGGGGATTCTGATGCATAGTGAAGACGTGTAAGGGGCGCAGACAAGTCCAGGAGTTGGTGCCGACTCACCAGCTTGACCCGCAGGAGGATTCGGGTGGAAGCTGCTCGGGTGATCTTCGTGCCTCCAACAGGACCCCAAACCTTCTCTTTGGGAAATAATTTTGTTTCTGAGTCTCTAACTCCATCAGGTAAGTAGGTTCTGGAAAGTACTCTAATTTTTTACACACCTCCTTTCACACAGGGAAATTTTCTTTAACCTGTAGGACGTTTAACACTCCCGCGCTTCTGTACCTGATCGTGTGGTGTAGTTGTAGTGAATCCTCGTCTCCAAAAACTCAATTCTAGGAGTCAGTTGTGGAATTTGGGATGTAGCACAGGCTTCCAAGAGCAAGCGCTCCAAAGAAATTACCTGTTTGTTTGTTTGATTGATAGCCAAGCCACGTGGGTAAGAATCAAGAGCCTGACACATAGTTTGGCATAACACTGTGGTGTTAAAATCGGGCTTTTTCTGCCTTCTCCTTGCACGATCCCAAATACTGTCCTTGGAGGTCAGTGGACATATATTTTGGCCCAGAGCAACTTCGGGGTGTGTTGTGTGTCTTTGAGCAAATCGGTTCTCCTTTCAGGACCACATCTCAGGGTGGGAGAGAAAACTGGCTTGATGCAGGCTCTCCCCTCCTCCTGGAAGACTCACCCCTGGGAAACCTGTGTGGGTACTGTGCTCCCACTTGTGTGAGGCTCCCCCAATTTGAGGAAGACTTGGTGGAACAGTTCTGTGTCTTCTACTGGCTCCACTTTTCTCAGCTGTGTCTCGGCCCTCTGCCTCCCCTCCACACCCTCTCGGCACACACACACACACACACGCTCACACGCACACGCGTACTCACTGCCTCAGATTTCGTCCAGCCCTTGGTGGCCAAAGCCACTGGATACTGAGGACACCCAGGTCGTCACTGGAAGCCCTACTCTCTTACCTGTGCCCCAAACTCATATTCCACTGGCCTCTGAACTTTGAAGAACTACTAACATTTCAAATGCAGCACACCTAACATTACAAAAATTCATTATTGTTTTTTCTTTACACAAGATGCTTCCTCCAAAAGTTAGAAAGCAAGAGCTGTTACCAGCCTCACCCCCACCCAGGCTCCTCTAGGAACTGTCTCCTTGGCCCTGAATAAGGTCCTTTTAGTTACCCATTTTCCAATATCCAGTTTCCTCTATCCTTTTTCTAGCTGGCAGCCCTATAGTCACTTTTCATGCAACCAACTTCTATCTAAGAATCAAATCCTGTTGATTCCTCCTTCAGAAATACCCCCCAGGACAGAAATGCTTCCCAGCACTCTCACATAAGCCCCCTCCCCTCTGCAGCCAGCTGCCACCAAGCATCAGGTTTCCCACCTGATTGTCAGCTGTCTTGAGGGCAGAGACCACGTGGCCCAGGTCTCGTCACAGAGCTGAGTGTGTTTCGTGTGTTCCACGAAAGCACGTGAGTTACTGATGCACAAATAAAACGAGATGCTTGGGCTTCCCTGGTGGCGCAGTGGTTGGGAGTCCGCCGATGCAGGGGACGCAAGTTCGTGCCCCGGTCCGGGAGGATCCCACGTATCACGGAGCGGCTGGGCCTGTGAGCCATGGCCGCTGAGCCTGCGCGTCCGGAACCTGTGCTCCGCAAAGGGAGGGGCCACAACAGTGAGAGGCCCGCGTACCGCAAAAAAAAAAAACCAAGAAAACAAAAACAAAAAACGAGATGCTCCTTCTCTGTCAAATTGTCAGTAGTGCTCAGAGCTGGAGCAGTTGTGGGAAACGGGCACTGCTAAGGAGAATATAAAAAGGTACAACTTCTGGGGAGGCCAGGTTGGAAACAAATGTCAAAAGCTTTAAATGTTTGCACTGCCTTTTTTTCAGCAATACCCACTGTTAGAAATACAGGCTTAGGAAATAATCATGAATGTGTGCAAAGCATTAGCTATGAGTATTAGTTGTGAGACTGTATAAATAGTGAATAATTGGAAAAAAAACTAAATTGGAGAGCTGAGGGAAATTAGCTTTTAAAATTGGTGTTCAAAGTATAAGTAATTTCTCTCTCTTTTGTCTTCTTTTTTCTTCTTGTTTGTCTCATGTTAGAAATTTTTATGACAAACATGTATTACTATTACATTAATACAAAAATAATAACCTTAAAAATACTGGGTATATTTATACCATGAGTTCCTTAAATTTTTTCTTTCAAGATTATTTTTTTTACTTTTTAAAATTAAGTTTCTTGGAGAAAGAATTGATGTTTCACTATTGTGTGTTTAGTATTCAAGTGTATTCTTAGCAAATCTATAAGTAATCACTTAATTGCTCTTCTTTCCTCAAAGCTTTGACAGTTTCAGATCCCTGCCATTGCTTCCTTGGCTTCACTTACCCAGTCAAAACTAGGTTTCACTTTAAATTGTATGCATTTGACATGTACCCAGATGGTGAAATTAATTAATTTTGCTCTGAAGATTTACTAAGAGCCCCAGAAATCATTGCAGATACTCTGGGGTATTTCACAACCAGACTGAGAATTACTGTATCTGTCTACAAAACTGAGGTGAAGCAAAAAAAACATGACTGATTAAAGAAAACACAGAAAATAACCTGACATTTGTTGCTACTCGCCCTTTTCTGGTTTTCTTCCCTGGTACATAGTAACCAAATTACTCAACTTCGAAGTAAGAACTGAAGTCCCTATCCCACCACCCCCTGCTTCACTTCTGACTTCTCAGTGCTTTCTCACTGCTCTTAGGGTGAAGCCCCACATCCTCCCCGTGACCTGCAAGGCCTTGCCTGCCAGAACTCCAACTCTTCCATCTCGGTTACAGACACACTACTTTTTAGATGCTTCCTCTGGCTCCACGGCTGTTAGACCTGCTGTTTCTCACCTAGAAGGTTCTGCCAGCCCTTGCGAATTAACTAAGTTCTGATCTTTCTGAGTTGGTGGGAAGCCTTAGGGAGGCTCGGCTGACCTTCCAGGCCAGGTCAGACTCCCTGCAGCAGCTCTCCTGGCAGCCGGTATACATCTCCTTCCTGAAACTTTCACAGAGACGTGGTGATATTTGTACACATAATGATTAGACAAATGTTTCTCTCTCCAACTACACAGAGCTTCAGGAAGGCAGAGACCATTTCAGCTTAGCATTTCTGCAGAAAACAGGTCACATAGCAGGGCTGAAACCACCTTCCTTGCCTGCTTGCAGGGTTGGCCCTTGGTTGATGTCTAGAACCTTGGCTTCTCACACTGAGATCCTCCGAGCCGCCCACTGTGCCCCAGATGGCACAAACAATGTGGTATGTGCTGAACACCTGCTTTTCTACTGGGGCTCTGGAATTTGGGAACGTGCTGGCCAGGGGGTGCTCACATGATAAAGACCTCAAGCCGAAGTCTCCAGTGGTCTCCCAGGCAGTCACTGCCTGCCTGTGGCCGCACTTGGCTGGGGGTGCACTCTGCGTGACCCCTCTCGCGGGGACGGGGGGAATGAGCCTGAGGAAGCCTGCACCTGATCCTTCCCACTCCTCTTTCCTTGCCATTCGCCTGTGTCCTTATCACACAGCTGTGATAAACCTTGGCCGTGAATACAACTGCATACAACTGCTGAGTCCTCACAGCAGAGAGCGGTATGGTCAACACACCATTGTATCCCCAGAACCCTGCACAGTATTTGACATTTCGTAAATGATTTACTACCTGTTTTCTGAAAGGAAAATGAAAATGACCTCAGAGGACTAGGGCTAAGGCTACCCTGTGGAAATTCTCAAAGGAACTAAGAAACAGAACTTATCAACTACATTCTAATAACCCAAAGAATGTACATGCTTCTAAAAACGGCAGAATGAAATTGATTCAGGAAAGTTAGCAATGTCAGAGCCTGTCAGAATTTCTTTCTCACAAAGACGAATGTTCTGGATCTGTGACAGGGCTGGGTAGCCATGGGCCAGGACTTGCACACGGCCCCCCCATGCAGTTTCCAGCTTTCCTGTCCCCTCCCTCCTTCACCACGTCTGTACACTGTCAGCCCATTGGATCAAGCAGAGTGACACTCAGTATTGGGAGCAACGCAACTTTGGAATCATCTGGAAGCCTTA